CTCTCAATCTACCAAATTGATGAATTTTGGTCGTTCTCATAATCTTTTTTTAAATGGGTAATGCTACATGTACACACACACTTTTACACAATCTTTTACACCTCTCTCACATGGAGGGGGGTCCACGATTATTTTATTATGTGTGGGCCCCCTGCCATGTGAGAGATGTGTAAAAGATTGTGTAAAAAATTGTGTACACTTAGCATTATTCTTTTTGCAATCCCTAGTGCAAAATAATCAAACTAGGAAAGCACGGTCGGTAGATCTGGACAAAATGATTACGCAAAACCAAAACCAAATCAAATCAAACGGTTCGATTCGATTCTACAAAATAAAAAAAAAATAATAATAATGATTTTGATTCTTAGAATCAAGAATCATTTGATTGTGATTCTGGTTCTAATTCTAGAATCACGACCAAGAACCAAAATCAATTTTTGTTAATAAATATATATGTCAATGACTCAAAATAAAAAATAAAAAAAAATCATTTTTTGTTGGTGACCTGTTCATCTACACTACTGAATCGACAATATCTTGTATGGGGATGGAATTAAATATTTGTGTATTCAAATTATGACTATATTTTGTTTGTTAGTTTAAACTTCTGTGACTGAATTTTATTACACAATATGATTGATAATTTGAATTTGAATTTGCTGAATGTTTAAATTTTTATTTATTTATTTATTTTGGTATATATTACTAACTCATGGATCTAGTGATATTGGTTCATGGCTCAATTCGTTTATCTTGAAACTAGAATCAAATGGATTTATGTTCATTCCAGAGGTCGGCTGGGCGCGATCTAATTGATACAAAAAGATATGTTAAATGATTCAATCATACTACAAGTACAAAAAATTTTGACTGACAATAAATTACGGGAATTGATTGAAAGATGGAAAGAGAAAAAAAAATAATTCAATCATATAACGGCCACATCAGTGTCGATAAAAGTTCTATCGAGAGTTTCATGTACTCATGACTTTTTCCTAGGCGACTAAATTGGGAAAAAAAAAAAAAAAGAAGGCGAAT